TGTGGTTCACAGACTTGGTGCGGTAATAAGATTATAAAACATGTCTCTTGCTAGCCAGCAACCATGTACTACTAATAATAGTTGTAATAATTCATTGGATCTTGGGATTTTTGGTAGGTTGTGAGGGTTTTTATTTTTGTTTTTTAAAAATTTTTTAATTTAAGGAATAGAGAAGAGAGAGTGGGAAACACAAGAAGGCATTAAGGAAACAGGTCATTGCCCACATCCTCTGGAGAAGAAGAACAAACTAGACACCCTTTCTGCACCAGTGGGTAATGGTGCCATTTTATGCCTGCTAAAATTATATTGGACTTGTCCAGTGTGATTATATTCCGGGCAAGTACAGAAATAAAGAACATACGTAGTGTGGATAGGAATAGGCTTAAAAACTGACCTGTGCAAAAAGTAGCCAACAGTGTGGTCATAACATGATACCACGTGTGCAGTGGACAGGGTGACAGACTGGGACGTAGGAGGCCTGGGTTGAAATCCCTGCTTGGCCGTAGAAACTCACTGTTTGGGGGCGGGCGGGGAATGGAACTGGTGGTAAAGCCATGCCTTAAATATCTAACTTATCTTTAAAACCCTGTTAGGGAAGATATAAATAATACAAGTCTATTCTGACTTGCCAGCATATAATGCACACTTCAGAATAGAGGATTTTTTTATTTTTTATTTTATTAGATTTATACCCCACCCATCTAGAAAAATAGTTTACTCTGGGCGGCATTAGAAAATTTAAAAACAATAGAACCAATGAACATGCAAAAATCCAAGATGTAAAAATGTTTAAAATACAGCAGGAGGGAATGCCTGCCTAAATAGCCATGTCTTAAGTTTACTTCTAAAGACACCCAAAGAGGGAGCCAGGCGGATCTCTACAGGCAAGTTGTTGCAGAAGCGAGGGGCCACTGCCAAGAAGGCCTGGTCCCTCGTTCTTTCCTTCCGGGCCTCCCTCAGCGTTAGGCCCCTCAATCGCTTGGCCTGACTAGAACTAGTGTCTCTGGCAGAACTGGGTGGGAGAAGGTGCTCTGCCAGATAGTGATGTCCTAAACCATTTAGGGCTTTATAAGTAATCGTAAGAACTTTGAAATCAACACAGAAATGAATGGGCAACCAATGCAAGGCGGCCAGCGTGGGGGAAATACGTTGGTGCCTCTTCACCCCAGTTAGAAGTCTGGCTGCGACATTTTGTACCATCTGAAGTTTCTGCGTCAATTTCAAAGGCAGCCCCATGTAGAGTGCATTATAGTAGTCTAATCTTGAGACTACGAGCACATGGACCAAAGTGGTGAGTGCCCCCACATCAAGATAGGGACGCAGCTGGGCAGTCCGCCGAAGGTGGAAATGTGCGGAATGGACCACTGATGACACCTGGGTCTCCGTGGTGAGCGCCAGGTCCAGATGTACACCCAAACTGCGAACCTCACTCTTGTTGATAAGAGTCACCCCCCAAAAAGAGATGGAGTTTCCCAGACCACTGATGTCTGGGGCGCCCACCCAAAGGACCTCCATCTTCAGCCTCAATCCGTTCTCCTGCATCCATTGCTGAACAGCCCCCAGACAGTGCTCAAGGGACGAAACAGCATCCACTGTTGTTGGAAAAAAGGAGGTGTAGAGCTGAGTATCATCAGCGTACTGATGACACGAAGCCCCACATCCCCTGATGACCCCTAGCAGCCTCATATAGATGTTAAACAACATTGGAGAGATAATCGAGTCCGGTGGGACCCCATAGTTGAGGCTTCATGGAGCCGAGAAACTCTCCAATCTGCACTCTCTGGGGATGGTCCTCCAAGAAGGAATGGTCCTCCAAGAAGGAAGCCAGGCCACCAATTCCCAACTCTGAGAGCCTCCCCAGGAGGATACCATGGTCGATGGTACTGAAGGCGGCTGAGATATTGAGAAGGACCAGCAGAGACGTTTTGCCCCTGTCGGCCTCCCTCAGCAGGTCATCAAACAGGGCGACGAATTCTGTTTCTGTGCCATGGCGCATCCTGAAGCCTGACTGGAATGGATCCAGGGCATTGGTTTCATCCAGAAGAGCCTGTAGCTGATCGGACACCACCCTCTCAACTACCTTGCTGAGAAAAGAAACATTGGTGACAGGCCTATAATTACGAATACCATCCGCCGCCAAGCTCGGTTTCTTCCTAATGGACCTAGTGAATGTTCCCCTTGCCCTCCTGGAGAGACCCATTAATTATTGCTGTAGCCCATTCAGATGTTATAGGCCTGGCTGCTTTGATTAGCCAGGCTGGGCAAAGGTCGAGGGAGGAGGTGGTGGCACGACAGCAGTCAAGCACTCTGTCCACCATATCTGATGTCTCAGGCTGAAAGTGGTTAAGTCTCATCGGGCAAGACAGAGCGCTGGACATCTCAGCTCGATCTACCGTTTTGAAATGGGTAAGATCCCAGCGGATGGCCTCCACTTTTGATTTTTAAAAGGCTGCAAATTGGTCATGTGAGATGCTAGAGGGAGGCCAATCACCATGACCAATTTCGGAAAGATTGCGAACTATATGGAAAAGTTCCGCCTGCTGATTGGAAGCTTTGCTTATCTGGACAGCGAAGTAAGATCGACTAGCAGCCTTCACCTTAGATTGGTAAAGGTTCGTTGTGATCCTGACAACTATTTGATTATTTTCCGTCTGGTTCTGCCTCCATATGCGCTCTAGCTTTCTCCTATTTCGCTTTATCAGTCGCAGCTCTGGATTAAGCCAGGGCAAAGGGCAATCTCTGTGCTGGAGAGGGCGTTTAGGTGCAGTTTTAGGAAGGTTGTGCCTGTGAACAAAGGATGATAATGGTTCAAATTTCTGCAAACTCCCAGTTTCCCAAAACACTTCTTGCTTTCTGAAGGCTTTGAAATTGGTGTCTGACATCCTTAGGAGCAAGAGTATATATAAGCATTGCCAATTCCTTGGTGTTGCCTTTGCTTTTGTGAGAATGTGGGGAACACTGCAAATGTTCTGAGTGTTGCATGTTCTGTCCTGTAGCATTTATAACTGGGCGACTGGTGGAAACGCAGCAAAGCCTAAGTGTCCAGATCAGGGAGTCTTACACGGGAATATAGAGGAATCAATGAGAAGGATTTCTGTTATTGAAGCACAGTTTTCAGTAGCAGAACTATTTATAATAATTTAACCAATGCAGATGCAAATGGCAATCTGTTCCAATTGGAATGGATTAACCAGTTTTCAATTCATTCCTATGGGAAATGGTGTTTCACAGAACGATGTTTCACACAACGTTGATTTTTTTGGAACCAATTAACATCGTTGTGTGAGGCACCAGTGTATTATATTCTAGGTGGTCAAGATGCTTTATTCCAGCTGCACAATGCATATGATAAGGCTCACTGAATTAAAAGGTAAAAACTTAAAAATAGCGCAATGCTGTAGCAACTGTAGGAATTTCCCCTTGGCATGCTGCTTTTCTCCTGTCTGCCACAATTTTTATGTACATCTGTCACTTACATTCTGTGTTTTACTTCGCTGGTGGAAGTTGGTCTCAGATATTCAAGGAAACCGGAAGACTCTTTGTCTGTGCATACTCCAATTTAGTCTTACACTTTCCTGCAGCCAAACGGTTGTCCACATGGCCAAATTCTAAGGCAGGGGTCTCAAACATGCGGCCCGGGGGCCATTTGCGGCCCACCGGATGATAGTTTGTGGCCCCCGCCTTGCCTGCCCCCCCCCCCGAAGTGCCCATGCGTCCTTTGCTGTCAAGAGTACAAAAAGCCTCGCCTCGCTCGCTGGCTGTCTCCCAAGACAGCGACTCTTGCACCCTCTATCCAGAACTGCAGCCTGCCTGCCAGCCTGCCTGTTTGCCGGCTGGCAGACTGCAGTTCTGGATGGAGTGTGCAAGAGGGGCTGCCTTAGGAGACAGCTGGCTAGCGAGGCGCGCTGCCATCCCTTTTCCCCGAGCGCCCCAGCCGCCGCTGCCGCGCGATGCCTGAGAGTGGAGCTCACTCCCGTCCCGTCCTCAAAGAGCGCCTCCAAGCCGCCAACAGCAGCTGCTGCCACCACCACCACCTCTTCCAGGGAAGCGGCTCTCTGGCTCTCTTTCTCTCTCAGCACCCCCAGCACCAGCCTGGACAGCGGCCGCCTCAGCACCCAGCGGTGCTTCCTCCTCCTCCTCCTCTTCATCCTGCTTCAGCCGTCTCGGCTCTGGAGGCTGCCTGGGCTCATCTCGCAAAGTTTGCTCCTCTGTCGTGGTGGGGGGAGCTGCTGCTGCTGAGTGTGCCTTTTTTTGAGGAGGCCCCTCAGAGGAAGGTTGCCGGACCTCCGTGTGTGTGTGTACAGCTGTGGGGGCCCCACCCCATTCTGTTTAATTTTGTGGGTACCTATGGGGGCTTTTCTCCTTTAGCAAGGCGATTCTGTGAGGGTTTAAATTTTTTTTAATGTTGTGCCCTCCCCCCCGCTAGGGGGTCGCTGGTACTCCCTCCCTTCTCCGCTTCTTTGTCCTGCTGCTGCTGTTGTTTATGGTAGTGAAGAAGGAGCTGGAGGGGGTTGTGGCCAGTGACGAGGCTCGCACGCCCCTTCTACTCCTCCTCGGAGCCCCAGCCAGGCTAAGGAAACTCCTGGGCGGCTTCCTCGGGCTCTTGCTCCACTTGCGCCCCAGCCTCGCCCAGCCTTTGCCTCCAGCAGCCCCCAGGTAAATTGAGTTTGAGACCTCTGCTCTGAGTCCACGAGAGTTACAGGTTGTGGACACCCTGGGCAGTGCCGCAGCTGCCACATTGCCTTCAAACCTCTGCAGAAATAAGCATTTCCTTCTGACTTGCAAAAGATATTTCACTCATTAATAACAACTCACACTTGCACTATTTTGGTACAGCGCATTTGTATAAAAGGGAATCCTTGACTGACATTTCCAGTTATGAATTCTGGGGGTGGGAATGGGGTAGAAGTATAAAGAACAGGGAAGATGGTTAGTATTCGTGGGAGGGGAGTTGGGCTCCTCCCTCGCTTTTGTATAACCTACTTTTCTTCTGTCAACAGGTGAAGAGCCCAGACAACCGCCATGGCGTGAGTTCCCAGTACCGGATGCATTCTTACTATCCTTCCACCCCTTATTTGGGCCAGAATGTTGGGGCTCCTGCCTGTGTCCCCCAGATTTTCACTTTTGAAGAGAGTCCCCCGTACTCTGAAGCAAAAGCAAATGGTAAGCATGCCATCTCCTTACACACTGATCCAGCTTGTTTACTCTGAAAAGTGACCAACAGAAGTGGATGGAAATATACAATGTTGGTGATAAGTTGGAAGTGTCATTAATTCCTTTTTCTACTACATTGCTCTAGAAATGTTTGTGTGCCCTGTTTTTATTCTTACCTCAACAATTAATGTTTTATACACGTTTTGTTAATGCGTACAACCCAGGTTATGTGAGTAAATTTAAAGAAATGCTACAAAATGTTACTGTCCCTTCAACCCGGACACAACTTGCTTTCTGCCCTATATTTTGTATTTAAAGGCAGGTTTTCCGCCTGAAGTCCTCCAGCCATTTGGCGCTTCAGAGTATGTGGCAGATACCTCAGTGGATTATACCCCTTTCTGCTAGCATCTTAAATTCAGACAGATATTTTAAAAATAAAATGGGGAGCAAGGGTAAATAAATGCATCTCCAAGTGTGTTCATAATTCTAGGGGGGTTGGGGAGGGGGAGCTGTGTGTTTTGTGCATTTTTTAAACTGCAGAAAACACACTGTTTTCAGTCATTATTGACTATTCGTTCAGACGATATTCCACATACTGATATTGTTCCCTAAGTTAGCTCATCAATCAGCCATAGACAAGCAGGGAGAAGTAATTTACTGAGCTCAAGCAGTGTTTTCCAAGTTCTGACCGAGTGTTTTTCCATAGCGAGGGAACCTGCTGGCTTGAGAACCACAGGTACAATTATGAAGGGTGTGAATAAAAACACACAGCAATTTTTAAATAGCCCTGCTAATAGTCCCCTTGTTTTCCTTACCCATTGATCATTTTCAAACACACATGATGTATTTTCAGTCCAAAGGCAGACAGATGTCTCTTTTCTTCTCTGTGCCTATTCTGATCCCAGACTTGCCATATAACAGTGTGGTCAGGTGCAACATCTAAACAAAAACTGGAGGATTCAAAATACTTTTGTCCACCCTTCCCCTTTCTTCACTCCCCCATCATAGCCCAGTTTGAACCGTTCTCTGCCTACCCTGCTTCACAGTCACTGTCGGAGCAGCGTGCATTCTGCCATTGCAAAATGTGAATGTCCGATTCTGTGTTGAGCACAGAATGGGGCATTTTCAGAATCTACTATTTAAATGAAAAAGAAAAGATATGAGCTCTTAAGACTGTAAAGATGGGCTTTACAGATAGACTGCAACCACGCTGACTATAGGTGATGTTGGTTGTGGTCTGACACATGGGAAGTGACAGATTGGAAAACATTGCCTTAATGCTTTTGAAATTTCAGGAAAAGCCTGGAGAAATCTCATAAACTAGATTTTAAAAATGTTTTGGATTTCTAAGCTAATGTGTAAGCCCGTATTGCAACCTTAAAATAGCAGTAGTTTAATCCATACAGAACACCACATGAGAAAAAGTGGCTGTAAATAAAAAAGCACTTTCAGGATCCTTTAAATTCCAGTAAACTAGAACTCTGTAAGCGAGGAAGTTCTACAGTTGTGGGGTCTGCCTCCAGAAAGTACATGTATTTCATGTCTGCAAATGTAATGGGGTTCCACATTGAGCTTGTGAATAGAGGCACTGATAGTGATCTCAAGGCCTAAGTAGGTTTCACATAGGATTAGCTTTTCAAGATTGATCACTGAGACATCTGGCTCAAGATAGGATGTTATAATCTTCAACTGCTGGTTCCTCTAGCAATCCTTCACACAAAAGAGGCCTGTTGCTGCGAGTGTGTAAATCTGTGGATGTATCGGCTTACTTTAAATCAATAACGTCCTTTTGACTGCCTCATTTTCTTGTCTTTTCTCTCTCTTCTTATCATCTCACTTTGCAGTGTTCTTCTTCACCTCCATTTTGTGGATTCTTCCCATTCCCAGTTCTGCTTCATGCAGCCTTTCCATAATCTGGAAAAGTTACATTCCTGAACTAAAGCTTCTCAGGATATCCCACCATTGGTCACCCTGACAAGAGGCTCTGGGAGGTTGTAATTCAAAAATTCAGGTTTCTCAAGCCCCGAGTCTTCTTTTGGCCTGCACCTAACAGGTCTATTTCTCTTCAGTGACAGGTATAGCTGTCTCCTCAAAGGACTTTGGGGAGTGAACTCACGGCAAACTTGTCTGCCTTGCCACAAAGCAAAGACAATACAGTAGATGCTGCTTGGAGCTTACCGGGACCATCTATCCAGCAATAGGCTAGCTTGGACACTGAGGTGTTATTTCTCCTCCTGAGTAGAGAAGAGTAGCAAATTGTTTTCACAATTTGTTGCCTGCTTTATTGGTTGCTTCACAGTTTGTTGCCAGCATTATTGGTTGCTTATCCTCTTGTTTTTTTAATGCCCATCAACCCTTAGTCCCCAGACCTTATGCCAGTTGCATGTGTCAAGGGGAGATTAGAAAGAACAGAAAAAGGTTTCTTATGAGTCCTTGTTTTCTCCTTGTTATGTGCTATCAAGTTGGAACTGACCTATAGCGATCCTAATAGGGCTTTCAAGGTAAGTAAGATATTTAAGGGAGTGGTTTTACGGTTCCACCCTACTGCTCACAAAGGAAATGTCCTACCCTCCAGCGCGCCTTGGGATGTGGTGAAGTCCACCTCCCTCTGCATCTTAACAATACTCATGACTTGCAGACAGCTGGGGTCCCTCACCAACCTGCAGCTTCCCTCTCCGGACCAACCTTGGACGAAGGATCTTGTAGTCATCCGCCTGGCTCGGCGCGGCTCCTGTCTCGAATCCAGAAACCTCCATGATGGCGACACCTCTCTGGCACTCGGGAACCTCTCTGCAAGTGGTCTGCCTCCGGCGCTGTCTTCGATCTCTCTTTCCGTCTTGTAATTTTAGCTGCTCTACAGAGTTTCACCTCTCCCTCTGGAGCTGCTAATGTGCTGCTCTTGGTTAAACCCTTCAGGTAGGGCCTATCAGTATCGAGCCTAACTCGCAATTATTTTGTACTTTACACCACTGGCAGGGTTAGGCTACGTCTCAACCTATTTATCTTTCGATAAATCACCCCTCTGCCTTCCCAATATGGCCATGCATGTTTTCGCAGGGTCTTTTTCCTTCTCTTATATTGACCCAACTTTGCTTTCCGACCCCAAAGTTTGGCTAGATAGGTTCGTTCTCTATAAGGTGTAACCGCCTATGGGCATGCAACCCCGGTGTCAAACCTGTGCACTACACCCTTGGCTACTCCTGGATTGCTATAGAAAACCTGCTTGTACTTTCCAAGCACGGCTATAGCTTTCTTTTGCTATTCTGGGGAAACTGAGGGACTGATTTGGTCCTCCTCTGAGGTGTATTTGAGTTCAACCCTCCCTTCCCCACCAGGTAACTCGAGCAAGACAACGTCTTCTTTCCTATAGAAGGGCTTGATTATTTTCCCCTGGTCCACTATCCAGCTTGCCTGCCCCTTTAACAGCTCAATGCAATCTCCTTCGTTCACTTGAGAGGTCACTTGCATCATCTTATAAGGGAAATAGGTTCCTATAAGATAGCAATGGACAGTCTCAGCTACAGGCAGCTGTTCTGCTTGTCTTTCCTGACCCTCTGCCCTAGCTGCACTCCTATTATGAGTTACTGTTTCGCCATTCTCTGAGGTAACTTTGTTAGGCTGCACACAATACACTGACTTAGGCTTGGGTAAATCAACCTTTTGACCCCCTTCTCTGGCCTTAGTACACTGTGAAATGAAATGGCCTTTCGATTGGGAATTTCTCTGTTCTGAGCCAAGGGTCTTATTTCCATTCCCTTCTCAGTGCTTGTATTTTGGCTGGCCCTGTTCTGTGGGCTTGCCTACAAAATGGCTGCCACTTGCCTCCTGGTTCTTGAAGTAAACCTTGAGCTCCTTTTCGCTGTCCTCCCAAGTTTTTCTTCCCCCTTTTACCTCACAAAAGTTCCAGTTTTGAATGTGTGAAATTAAATCTGCAACCTCTCCTGGTTCCTGAACATCTTTGGGCCTTATCTTTCTTTCAGAATCATTAAACTTTTCCGCCTCAGCTTTGGGCTGTAAAACTTTTTCCTCAGCCCCGTCATCTATTTTCCATTTGTTCTTAAGGTACAGCTCCATTTGTCTGAACTCGGCTCTCTGTTCCGCTTTCCACTTTTCCAACTCTAATTGCCATTCTCTCTGCTCAAAGGACATTTGACTGGCCTTCTGCTCATCTTCGAATGCTTTCAATTTCAATTCCAATTGTAATTTCCATTTTAGAAATTTTTAAAATTCTAGGAGGTTTTTCCCCCTCGAGGTCTCCAGTTTACCCTCTGAGGTAATTCCTTCCTGAATATCTTCCCCCTCTTGATCTGAGCCAACTGCCACCTCAGAAGGCACCTCTGTCACCTTTTTCCCCCCGCATGGAAGGCATGTTTATTTATGTAGGCTTCTGCTTCAATTTACAAGCCTCAAATTTAAAAAGTACACTTTTTTCTTTCCTTTTTTTGTGAGTTAGAGTCTGTAATAGAGTTGCTTCACCCAGCGATCATCCACTGTTAAGATACTGTATTTAGACCTCTGACTCCTAGCCAGGCCTTTTCCTGAGACAAAGTGTCTCTCCCTGCCTCTAGGCACCAAATAAACAGAAATATCAGCTTTAACTCTTTCCAGTTTTTGCTGATTTGAGTCACCTCAGCTTCTCTGCCCTTGGTCTCCGCTTTGTCCCCTCAGAACTCTGTCCTTTGAGCTCAGGACAAGCTAGCCAACTGGTCCCAGTTTCTGCTTGAGGTAAACTCCTTCCAGAAATGTTTTCCTCAGAGCCTGTTCCTATCTTAGCCCCCCGATCTGAGCTTAGGAACCTTCCCAGTAAGCTTTTTCCCCTTGAAAAAGTTCTAGGAAGTTATCCACTCCTTCCACTCAAATCCCCTGACTAAAATATATTTTTCTGCTCTGGGAACCTTTCTGTTTCTAGGCGTTACTGGATTAAGTCGGATCCCAGCCGCTGGTCACCACTTATGTGGCGATCCCCTCTGAAGCCCCTATTCCCCCAGGCTTTCACGAGGTTCTGAGGCTGATTGGAGATTTGAACCCACGTCTCCTGAGTCCTAGTCCTTCACTTTATCCACTACATCACACTTATTTTCCTTTTCATGAGGCATTTTTATTTCTTTTTATTTTTAAAATCACTTTGACCTTTTATTCCCAAAAATAAACAAGTCACGGGATCAGATATATTGTGGCAACGTACGACAGAAATATAGCCAGACAAACTGAAAAAGCAGTAGTTAGGGCAAAAAAATTCTTAACTCAGCTGTGGTCCTGCAGGCAATTGGATGCCACCCTTAATTTTAAGCTGCAAGATTTCTGAGCAGACAGAAAAAGACAAGAGGGAGGAATGTCCTTTAAACCACAGCTAATAACCAGACTGTATGGACATTTCCTGATAATTCATGATGTTTGCTACTTACCTCAGAATCCTGAGGTATAAATTTGGAGGCCATGCCAGTTCATATGTAAGTGCTGTACCATTTCATTAATATTCCTGTGCTAATAAACTGCCTGTTTATTGGAGAGAGGGATCTGCTGATGAAGACGAGAAAGGCTACCTTTTGATTCATAATTGTTTTCTAAATGCAGAGAGAAGCTTCTAATTTTTAAAAAAAAGAGTCCACTCTAATAGTCTATGCTATGTTTTCTGAAGCAGGAAATAGGGCACAGATGATCCTCCAGATGTTGTTGAATTGTAGGTCTCATCAACCACCTCTCCTGGCTATGGCTGATGAGAGTTGTGGTCCAACAGTATCTGGATGCCAGTGGAGAAGTGTAACAGTGGTGGATGACCAGCAGCATATGGGCCTGATTAATGTGGGTTCAGGCATTGTTCCAAAGCGGGTGGTGGTAAATTTCTGATGTTCCACCTTATTTCAGTTCTGACTTTCGGTGACATAAATATGGACTTAATTGGTTGATACCATGAGGACAATTCTTAAGTCAAAATGAGGACACAAAGTAGCCCTGGGTTTGTGGGATCCTTCCAAGTTGTTTACAGGCTATTTAGTGAATACTTGCTGATTGAACCACTTTTCCTTAAGTCATTTATTACATTTTGCCATGATCCTGAATTCCAAATACCTGCCAAGACAGGCAACAGTCTAGGGCATTTGCTATTGCCCTTCATCTGTTGGGAGAAAGATGGGTGCTCATTACAGTGGGCCCTCGACTTATGAACTTAATCCGTTCTGGGAGGACGTTCGTATCCCGGAAAGTTTGTAAGTCGACCTACCATTTCCCAGTGAAATGCATGGGAACGGAATTAATCCGTTCCAGCATTTCAAAAAATAAAATAAAATACAAAAATAGAATTGACTGTGGTTTGGCAAGAAGGTCAGGGAGGTTCCTTTCTTATTAGATCAATTTAAAAGTTATACAAGTATACACAACAAGAGCAATGAGGACAATTAATTCAAAGTTATTATAAGGAATACTCAAGTAATGTCTAAACCTCCTGACTTGTCTAGTGGGTGAAAATGGTTCAGAAATGGAAATGGTTCAGAACTTAACCATATTTCCTGTTAAGAAACTAGCTCAGTCAATATAAAATCATCTTTGCGGCTTTGTTGGTTGTTGATGGTTTGGCAATCAGGAAATCATCTGGTCATTTGTGTAGCTGTAGGGAGTAAATCCCTTTAATCTAATGGACTTGGTCACTCCGACCTGCAGTGACTGCCCCGGGTATGATCATTGTTCCTGGCAGCCTTCCATGCCAGTCCTTCCAAAACAAAATGAATTCATGAGCCAAAGACTGAGGTTAATGCCAGAGAAAAATGGCAAACAGCAGAACTAAATGTTTATAGAGGACTAACACATCTGAGCATCTTCGCACTGGGCGGAGCTCAGCCAACACGAAGGGGACTCAGTGTCAGGTGAAAGGAGGGAGCTGATTTCTCCCCGGCAGCCCGGCTTGCTTCCGAAGCAAAAAAGGCAGGGAGAAAGCGCGGGAAGTTCAAACTTCCCACGCTTTCTCCCTGCCTTTTTCACTTCGGAGGTTTCAGAAGGCTTCCTCCGATGTTGGAGGAAGCCTTTTGAAAGCTCCAAAGGCAGGGAGGAAGGGCAGGAAATTCGAATTTCCCGCCCTTTCTCCCTGCCTTTTGGGTTCGTAACCCGATCTGCGTTTGCAAGTAGGGTGTACTACTTGCGACGAGATCGGGTTCATAACCCGAAATGTTCGTAACTAGGGCCGTTTGTAAGTCGAGGGCCCACTGTAGTGCCCACTTTTGCCCTTGTCTCTGCCTGCCACCCTTGGGCTCCAGCCACCTGTGCCTCCTACCTGGCACTAACCAAATGAGTCAGCTGGGCAACATGTTCTGTGTCCTGGGGGTTGCAAGAGATTTTTTCCCCTGTTCACCAATAGAAGGCGGTGGATGGGATGCATAAAAGTCTTCAACTGCTGTGGATGGGCAGGATTTTGCAGGAGGAGCTGGTCCTTTAGTTGTCCTATCTGAAGACATTTAGGACTTTGAAGGTAATGAGAGCACTTGGAGTTGCAGGTACAAGGGTATCAGCAGTTAGTGAAGTAGTTGGGAAAGGCCAGGGTCCAAAAAAACAGCTCCAGTCATAAGTTTTACCTCTGGCTTTAGACTACCAGGTTTGGGTGCTGCTTCATGTGTAGAATGTTACAGAAATTTGATTTTGATGTGTGGCCAAGAGCAGATGTTTTCTCCAGAAATGAGTGGCATTGGATCAGCAGGTGGTCAGCGGGTCCATTAGGACAAATGAGCATTGCCCTACCTTAAGCTTAGGCTATGCCCAGCCAGTGTGCTCCTGCTTGTCTGTTTACCACAGATGGAGAGCCCAAACCCTACCTGTGTGCCATGCCTCTTTTTCCAACTCCCAGTTTCTATGTGAATATGTTTGTGTAAAAGGAGAGGGGAGTAGCAACAGCAACAGGTTATTCCACAGTGAGTTCCACCCACCCCTG